GTTTTATGATTTTAGGGATGCTGAGGGATACTATGACATTAAGGTGAAATATTAAGCAGATGTTTACGTTATTTATATACTTGCTAGCTAATAGTTAAAATAATCTTATTTTATTAATTTATATTTTTAATACATCATTACAATCTTTTTTTTTTATTTATTGTGATATTAAATATATTGTTATTTATATATTCTTATTTCAAATTAACCACAGATAATAATACAATTTTGTGCTTTTTAAATAATATATCACCGTTTTTTATTTGGCATGATTTTGAAATCAGCTGCGGTTCGGTGTATTCTTCTTTCTTCTTTCTTTATAATATATATATATATATATATATTATATATTATATATATATATATATGTATATATATATATATATATATATATATTATATATATATATATATATATATGTATATATATATATAAATATGTATATATATATATATATAAATATGTATATATATATATATATATATATATATATATATATATATATATATATATATATATATATTAGTTAGGTTGTGACAGGGTGAGTTTTTATTACGACATCTGTTGATAGTTCCATTGTGGTACAAGATATCCAAAAAACTTATTTAGAATAAATGTCGACAATGATATTTTCCATACTTATGTGAAATACATTAGGGTTAATACTTTAGTCATAACTATGTGGTATATAGCAAACATACAATTTTTAAAATGGACACTATTAATTTTTTCATACTTATTATACTACAGTATAATAGTATTTATATACTACATATTTTTATATTCCTCTCATTATTGTTCGTATAATATTGTGCTTTGCATTACTGTACAGAGTATTTCACAAGCTGTGACCATATTTATTTCGAAATCCATTAAAATCAACACAGGCATGCATATAAAGAAGTAAGGCATTAACAATTATTCATTTTATACAATAAGTAAACAATATAGCCCAGGGAAATAAGCATTTTTTCATGACACTCGTCCGGCCAGGCAAACGACAGTTGTTTTGAGTAGTGTGGACCTCTGTAACAAAAACCTATATGTTTCCTGCAGTCGATTTTTTGGACTAAATTAGTTATTAACAAATTAAGTTCAAAAAACGGAAAATTTTTGCTTTTTTCGTCTATCAGCAAAAAGTGAAGCAATTTAAACAAATTTTAGAAGAGAGGAAACTTATAAGTTATATAAAAACCTTCAAAATGGCGTTCTCAAAATGTTTCTATCCTTATTTGTTGTTTAGAAAGTTGCAAAATAAGTCAAAAATTTTGGTTTTTTATAAATGTTAATAACTTTTTTGAAAATAAACTTATAATATTTATATTTCATGGAATGATGTGTCTTGCAGTGCTTAAAATAGGGTTAAAATTTCAAAGTGATCGGTCCAATAGTTTAAAAGTTATTTTATTTGTTTATCCCAAATTAACATTTTTTGCAACAATATAAGTCAGAAATTTATACAGTTTTAGAAATTGTCAGGGTTGTTTCTGGTAGAAGAAGACTTGTTTTATTATTTACATTAAAAAAAAATAGGAAAATTAATTTTAAATATTGCAAAATAATTTTGCAAAAACATGTCGATTTTTTGCTTATAAACAATTAGAATAACTTTTAAACCATTAACTGTAAAAATATTATTTTTACATATTTAAAAAGCTTAAATTTTTTCACAAATTTAAATAAAAAAAAGTTTGTCCTAAAATAATTTGGTACAAAGTTAGCCTCTTTTTTATTTAATTCATAGCACCTTTGTTTATAACAATTAAGAAATCTAATTAGCGCTATTTAAAAGAATATACATTATAGTTTTAAAGTACTACATTTTAAAATTATTTCCCTTTAATTTATTCCTCCACTAAGCTTCAAAATGTATGTAAAATCGGTCGGTTTTGAAACTCTCGGTAGCTGAATGGAGGGTAAAGGCGCTGTTAACTGTATCTCTGTTCCTTTTTTATGTATTTCAACGTTTCTTTTTGAACTTGTATGCACTTTTTGCGTACATTACGAATATGCATTATTTCAATAAATAAATTGTCAAATAAACCACCTAATTTGTTTAAAAACAATTTTTTTTAATTTTTTTGGTAGTATTTAAGTTAAGTTTGAATGTAAAACAGAAGTATTTGTCATTTCCTATATTTTGGGGACTAAGCCACAATTTAAGTTTATAATAAGTTTATTTTTGGTGTTTCGATTCGCCGAAAGCGGCGTTTCTAAGTTATATTTTTCTTATGGAACACCCTGTATTTTATTAGATTTTCTAATTGTCTGCTAAAAATAAGGTATAGTTTCATAAGACTTCCCTATACCTATGTACAGAGTGTTCTGAGTTATGTCGAATTTTCTTTAAATGTAAAACTTTTAACGAGGACTCATTCTTAGTTTATTTTGTAAAGCAATTCTAATAAAATTACTTATACATCTAGTTAGCTATATATTCGTCGAATGTATTTCATGATTAATTATTAAACATTTATTTACAGGGTGTTCAAAATTTGTAGTTTCATTATTGGATTATTCAATGTGTAATATAAGGCTTATTTTAAATGGAACACCCTGTATACTAATGAATTATTTAATTAAAAAAAATTTTCTTTTTCGAATGATATATTATGGATGTCCTATAACTTGGACTGATAGTTTTGCCGTAATTTAAAATTTTTTTAAACGGAAATCGATTTTAACTATTTATAGTTGTTACTTTCGATTTTTACACCCATCATATTGACATTAAATTTAGAAATTAAACCTTTTATGTACTTGTATTTGTATTCGTTGGGAATAGGATAATTAGTATTAAAATATGAAGAGAAGAAAATATGAATAATTTGTTGAAAATCTGATATTTTTTTGGATTTTCTACATTTAAAAAATCCGTCTTGGTTAATCCTGATGACCTAGGGGGCCAATTATATGAACCACCTCTATCTACCCATCTGTTTGTAAATTTAACATCTAGTTAGCTATATATTCGTCGAATGTATTTCATGATTAATTATTAAACATTTATTTACAGGGTGTTCAAAATTTGTAGTTTCATTATTGGATTATTCAATGTGTAATATAAGGCTTATTTTAAATGGAACACCCTGTATACTAATGAATTATTTAATTAAAAAAAAATTTCTTTTTCGAATGATATATTATGGATGTCCTATAATTTGGACTGATAGTTTTGCCGTAATTTAAAATTTTTTTAAACGGAAATCGATTTTAAATATTTATAGTTGTTACTTTCGATTTTTACACCCATCATATTGACATTAAATTTAGAAATTAAACCTTTTATGTACTTGTATTTGTATTCGTTGGGAATAGGATAATTAGTATTAAAATATGAAGAGAAGAAAATATGAATAATTTGTTGAAAATCTGATATTTTTTTAGATTTTCTACATTTAAAAAATCCGTCTTGGTTAATCCTGATGACCTAGGGGGCCAATTATATGAACCACCTCTATCTACCCATCTGTTTGTAAATTTTCTGTTAAGGTAGTTCCTAACATATCGTGAGAAATGAGCAGGAGCTCCGTCCAACTGGAGCCACATATTTGTTCGTAGGCTAAGTGGAAGGTTCTCAAGGAGTGACCAAAAATCTTGTTTTAAAAAATTTAAGAAATTTGTTCCATTGAAATGTCCGTCAAAAAAATACGGGCCGATAACGTACTCGCCCATAATGCCGCCCCAAACAATAACACTCCATAGGTGTTGACGATCAACAGTACGAAATAAATGTTTATTTTCTTTGTCATAATAATGAAAATTATGTCTATTTACTAGACAATTATTATTAAAAGTCGATTCGTGTGTAAATAATACATTTTTAAAAAAATCAGGATCTTCAACTTTATCTTAAATCAATAAACAAAAATTTAAACAGCTACCATAATCTTGTTCTGTCAAATGCTGGTGAAGTTGAATGTGATACGGATGAAAGTGGTTGGTCTTAAGTATTCTACATACACTAGTTTGACTAATTTCTAATTTACCCGAAATTTTTTTTGTACTAATATTTGGGTTTTCCGTAACAGAAAGCAGGACATTAAGTTCGTTAACGTTGTCACCATTAGCACTCAGCATTTATAACAGTTTTAAAACCATCTTTTTAAGTCTAGCATCTAGAATGGTACTAATTCTTGGAACAGTTCTATTCTCATATGGAAAAAGTCGAGTCCTGACTGACTCTACAAGTCTCACGAAATTTTAACCCAATTTCTGTCAATAAATCACATGAACTTAAAAAATTGTTAATACCAAAAACAGTGGGACTTAATAAAGAAATTGTGACATATTTGTAGCCAGACACGTTTTCAGTAGCATCCTTAAAAACTGACAAACATTTTTCCATATCTTTTATGACTGCAAAGTTGAGTGGCATTGCGCAATTTTAGCAATGTGTTGTTTAATGGATCAGAAGTGAGCAATATTCTTCTAAGCATATAAAAGCAACTGTTCCACTTAGTCGGAACTTCTTGTAGCAATTTGTAAGGTTCTTTATTTTATTTATAAGTATCCCTCCAAAATTGCCTCTGTTCTTTTTTAAATTTTAATGTAGCTGTGGGGCTAGATTTAAAAAAAAATACAACGTCTTTACATTTCTTTAACAGTTGTTGAATTAAATTAACTTTTGAAGTTTTCCTGTACTGCCAAATTTAGTGAGTGCGCAAAGCATGGAATATGTGTTTTTTGTAATAATTCACATGCTTTTAGCATGTTAGCTGCAATATCTGTAACTATGCATGATATTTTATCAAAAATATTTCATTCATCAAAAATTTCTCTTAGCACTCTTGCAATATTTTCTGCAGTTTTGCTTTCATTGATAACATTGGTCGCTAAAACTACTCTTTTTAATTCAAAGTGGGAATCCACAAAGTGACAAGATACACATATGAAGGATTCATTTGACACAGATGTCCAAATATCAGTGGTGATTGCCACATATTTAATACTTCCTAAAATATCTTTTAATGTAGTTGATGTTTCATCGTACATCTTTTTCAATCATTTGTTTTTAATGTGTCAGGGTTTGGCAAACTGTATCTAGAATCTAATAATTCCACAAATTTTCTGAATCCTTTATCTTTCACAATGCTGAATGGCTGAAAATCTTGACAGATCATCATTATCAGAGCTTCATCTAAAGATTTTTTTCCGAGAGAATTGTTGTCATATAGTTGAGCTTTTCGGAAAAAGTGACTAACAGAACGAGTGTTTGATCTCGCTAAAGATACCTCAGAATGGCTTGTGCTTATACTAGCACTAGCACTTGCTAAAAATAAACTTCACATGTAGATACAAATTTACAAATTAAAATGATGTTACATACCTAATTAGAGTGATTGGGAGTTTTTTGTCAAATGAGGATGAAATCTCTTTAAGTGGTCAAAAAGATTGGTAGTGTTTCCACAGGTTTTATATTCCTTTCCACATTCAGAACATTTTGCAAGATTTTTGGCATTTGAAAAATACTTCCATACACTTGATATTTTATTTCGTTTTCGTATATTACTGCGAGTATCTTGGTCAGGAAATGCAATATCTTGAACTAAAGAAGTAGAAGTTGATGCACCTGGATCTGTTGGTTACATCTGATCATCATTCCGTATACGAGGCGATAATAAATTTAATTCACCACTACTAGTAGAACCTATACCTATGCCCTAGTAGAACCTCTAGGCCTAAACGAATTTTGAAACAGAAACTTACCTTCCCTTTTTCTTTTTCCGAAGTTGGTCACAAACTTTTCCATTTTTAAGAAAAATAAATGCAAACACTCTCTCACTCAACGAAAATGAGAATCTATCTTTATTTCAAAGAATATAATAAGCGTCTATATTCTTTGGTATTATATTATATAGACGTATGACGTTATATATGTAATAATAAAATAGGATTTTTCATCACAAATAGTGTCAACCATTTTTTTCGAACAGACAGATGTAAACAAACATGTCAGATCAATCAATGCGTTTTAACCTTGCTTTAAGCTCTATGCTTCTTCAAGGGTGGGTTTGTTTGTTGGGTGCTAGTGCTTGTTAGGTTTGAAATGCCAGTTTTCGCCCGTATGACTTTTGTGGACTCCGAAGACTAAGGGCGCCGCCGCTAAAGAGCTGAAAGGTCAAAGAGGGTGGTGAAGGATAGGATAGGATGGGGCCGAGAACAAGAAGAAGGCAAGAGGCGGATGTACGTCTTCCGGAAGAGTTAGTCAGGCCCACCAAGCCTGTCACGAAGTACAAGTTCTTTGGAAAAACGATTCCTTTCAGATTGTTGGCCATTGTTTGTTTGTTGGAAAAACGCGTGCAGGATAGCTGTGGCTATGACCTCACCTAGGATCAGGTATCATTGTGCAATGAGATTGGGAAACCACAGAAAACCAATCTCCCCCTGTCCTTATGTGTATTTATTCGACTCTTAAGGAGTGTATTAGGTGCTCACAGTGTAGTGTTGTGTGTGTGTGTAGTTTTGTATGTTTATTAATTTGGACTTTGGGTATGTTGTTAGGTGAGGGTTTAGGTGTTTATTAATTTGGATTGTGAGCTGGGATAGGTAAAGTGTTGTGTTTGGTGTTATTAGTGTGTGTGTGTGAATTTGTGTTTGTGTATATAGTGTGGTGTTTAAATGTGGAGGTGGGTGAAGGTTTGTTTAACTAAATTGTTGGTGCATGAGGTGGCTATGGCACATCCATACATTGCATTGGAAATTTGGTTTAGGTAGTAGGAGATTGCACTTCTCTTTTCAGGGAAGGCGTTGAATAGGAGTATGGAAGAGAAATGAATGAGGGATTTCATATCAGAGGAGAGAGCGTAGGATGGGATTTGTTTTTCTGTGTACACTGGTTGGGTTTGACTATAGTTTGTTGGTTGAGTGTTGCGGTGAGGGCAGCGTGGTGAGAAAGCGGGGTGAGGACCACTACAGTTAGGGCATTTGGGAGTCGATATCGTGGGGCAGGCAGTAGACCGATGGCTGAGTCCGCAGTACGGACAAATAATGGATTTTTCAGGGCATTCGGTGTTGAAATGTCCGCTTTTGCAACATCTCGAGCAGTATTTGGATCGAACGGGAACGGAGTTACCTGATCGCGGAACTTCACAGGCCAGCCGTTCACCCTCGATCAAAACACCACTCGTGAGTGCTTCGGCGAACTTGGTTTCAGAGCTGGTAAATACTCTGATATAGGAGGTGGGTTGGTTAGTGGATCGGGCGATTATTCGAACTACTTTGGTGAATGGGAAGTTGTTCTCGGATAAGTTATCCTCGATGAGTTTTTGTGGAAAAGTTTTTGCCACGCCGGCTATGACTAGATGGAATATGGATGATGAATTGTTCGGATTGGGAGAAGGATTTTGGGTCTTAGGTAGACGGGATATTATTCGGATTTGGTCGTTTTGGAGGATTTTACGGAGATTTGCCGTGATGTGAGCGATGTCGAGGAGTTTCGTAGTTCGAACTGAGGCCGCCTTCTGGGCTGGGAAGACTTTTAGCGAGTCTAAATTAGGGATGAGGTTGTGCTGTATTAGGAATCGGTAAAACGGTCTCTGCTGGCAGATATCGGAGGGGATGTCCTCTATTCTGTAGTTTTTGTGTTGTGTTGGTTGCTGAGGGGTGGGGGGAGGGATTGTTTGAGGGTTAGGCGAGGTGGTTTGTGAGTGTATGGGATGTGGTGTTGGGGGAGTGTGTGGTATTGCTATTTCAGGTGTGTGTGAGGGGGTTTGAGGAGGGAGATGAAGGGTTGGAGGGGTTTGTAGGGGGATGTCTGTTCTGGATGTGGAGGGGGTGGGTTGGTATGGTATTGGTTGTGTGTTTGTTTGTGTTTTCTTGGGTGTTGATAGGATTTTGGGTGTGATGTTTTTGGTTTCGATGAATTCTGAAGGAATTTGTTTGGATATGGAGATGTGACTTTCGGTGATGGATCTTAGGCTCCTCTCCCATTCCTTAAGATTGGGAAGGGGGCCCGTTGTATAAAGGATGGCCTGGTTTTCGGAAGCTTCCGTGTCCAGTTCGAATGGGATGTCTCCGAGGAGATTGTGGTTTTTGAGGGTTCTGGATAATTTTCGTTGGCTGGAGTATTTCTGAGGGATCAGTGTGATGTAGTATCTGTGTGTGTGGGGTGTATTTTTGGGGGTAGGTTTTGGAGCTGGTTTGGTTGGTTTTGGAGGAGGAATGGGAGAGGGTGGAGGTATGGGTGAGGTGCTGGTAGGGGGGGAGGGGGGTGGGGGGGGGTAACGGGTTTTGGAGGGGAGGGGGAGGGGATGTATCCAGGTATTGCAGACATGAAGGCGTTCTGTAGGATTTTTCTTATGGTATCTGGAGTTTGTGTGTTTAGCTGTTGCTCTCGGTTATTGATTTTCTGGACTATGGGGGTGAGGTGTTCGCTGGCCGCCTCAGGATTTTGGTGGCAGATCTCTGTCAGAGCCTGCCTCCATTCCTGCTGCGTCCGTGGTTCATGTTTGTCAATGTTGACTGAGACATGTGAAGTGTGGGAAGAAGAGGAGATTTGGGAGTTGGATACAGATTGCCAATCAGTCTCTGCAGTCGCTGGTTGAGGTGGGTCGGGTTGTTTGCGGGATCTGGATCGTGGCATGATGTGGGTTTTCTGTGTGTATTAGGATAGGAATTGGTATATGTGGAGTATAGGATTTTGGTATATGTGGAAAAGGTACTTAGAACAGATGGTTGTTATTATTAGTATCTGTAGGAAAAGGAATTGGTATATGTAGGAAATTAGTATGTGTAGGAAATTGGGTGAATTGATATATGTATGAAATTGTGTTTGGATTTTGAAGGATGAACTTAGTATGTGTAGTAAAAGGAATTTGGAATGGTTATTGGTATATGTGGTAAGTGTGATTAATATGTGTATGAAATGTGTGTGTATAGTGTGTGTGTGTGTGTGTGAGACTTTACCTGAGTGTTCGTCACTATTCGTTTCGAGAACTCTGCGGCGAAGAGCTCCAGACAGGCACCAATGCCAACGCCCCTTTGCTTCCTTACTTTTCAGTATCAGTTGCAAGGATCCGTTAGCCGGTTGGTACCACGCCCGTTCGATTCGGTGCTAGTTACCAGTTTTGGCGCCTTACATGACAAAATTTAACGCCTCCACGTGGTAATTTCGCGCCTATTGTTTGTTTTCTGGCGATCCTCTCGTCCAGAAAGTGTCACTACCGGTACCGTGGATCCGTTCGCGAGTTTTCACGACCGTTTTTCACGCTGATTACCGTATTTCGCGACACGTTTCACGATTGGATCTGTTTTGTTGGTTTCTGGGTCTTCACTTTTGGCGGGAACGTGTACGTTCACGTTGAAAGTTTGTTCGAGACTGACATGTCAGATCAGGTTAGTAATATATTTAAAGACATTAAATATATTTAAAAGTTTTCCAAAGCATTTATTTTTGTATAAATTTATATAGGAGTCAATCTGCACAATCATTACATATGTAAAGCTATAGGTAAGAGAGAGCAGAAAGAGAAAAATAATTAGTTATATAGGTATATGGTGTATCGTTTGCTGTATATAAACATTTGACCTCTAATGAGTATAGTAAATGAAGGATTGTATCAATATTTTAATGAAAATATATATTTTTATTTTCATATATATATAAAAGGAGTTGAATGCAAAAACATTTTTTTACACATACTTTACAGTAAAATTCATTGCTTATTTTGTTATTAATATAAATATTACAATACAATAAATACCGTGCAACATAATTCAATATAATGATACAATATAAATAAAAATGCAATATTCATAAGTATTTAAAACTGTCCATATACATAACTTACTTTACGAAGATAAAAATAAAAAAAACTAACAACTCGGATTATGTTGTAAATTTTTATTTTATTTTAAAATTTAACATTTTTACATAATATATTACATATATTTAATAAGTTTAACGTAGGGTTTTTAAATATTTCAAAAACAAAATAGAAAAATTTATATTGGGATTCGAACTCACAAACACCAGCGTATGAAACAAACACGTAAAACAATATATGGTTGAATGTTCGAATAAATGAACTTTGATGGTACACAAGGCAAATATCGAACACAGTAGTTAATCAAAATCCACAAGGAAAAATTCCTGTAGCTGGCTGTATACCACGTATAACAAAAAGAGGTTAATCTTTGTAAATGGGTATATTTATTTAAAAAACCCTTAAAAGGGCCACATCAATAAAACAAACGTTTTCGGACCACACAGTCCATCATCAGGTTATTAAAATCGAAAATGCTAGGTCATAATGCCTGAGCCACCAAAATATTAGGGTAAAACCCTTTAAATTACATTTAGTTATGAAATATTGTACATTGTGTTATAAAATAACTGTGATGTTCAGTATTAAATTAAATTTGACTATAGGTAACACATGGCTCAATTGGGTTCCAGAGCCGGGTGAGAGGGAACCTCTGCACTCGGAGAACAACGTGGAACTGATTGAGTAGTTAATCAAATCTTGCCCAAGTACTTTCGATCACAAGATCATCCTCAGGGGCATTTCGTCAGTTGTGGCATATCCAGCAGTAACAGAATGTCATAAATGTAAATTGGGACATAACAAATACACTAAACAAAGACAAACAAACACTTTAAAATTTAAAAATTGGAGAAGCTACATTTTATATAGAAGCCGGAGACAGAATCTGTTTTTTCATTTCTTGCTCCTCCTTTTTTAATAAGTGATTTTTGTATGTTTCTAAGGGTAAATTCCCTATTTTGTAACTCGTTCATAAATTGCACTGGTCAATCCTAGCAATGTATATTGACAAACTGAGAGCTTCAAATTCTTCGTGAAATCTTTTAATTCTAACAAAGTCTTTCTCCAGTTCTTTGCATTTTTCCTTGTGTAGTTCATAAACTTGTATCTTGGTTTGAAAAACTGGTTCCAGATAAAGCTTCGTGGTATCCCTCCTACAATAGTGGCTTTCTACTTTTGGCATAGTTTCAAAGAAGTCTTTCAAGATCATAACTTTATCGTCAATCTTTTGGGATTTCTTCGTTTTGGCTGTTGTTTAGAATTATCTACTTCATGTCCCGACCCCTTAAGCAAATTTAAAATTACCCAATCAGAATACAGCAAGTATTTAAAAACAAAGTTTTAAAAACTCGCAGTCGTTCCGTTAATAATAGATACGAATTCGTCTAGAACCATTATTCTTTTGGTTTTTTAATTTTTTTGTACAAGCAGAGTCCACCATGTTGTTAATATGTATTGGTCTTTCTGACCAGTGTATATTTTTACAAAAATTGTTAAATAATTGAAGACATAAGTGGATAAAGGTCATATGTCACAAAATGATATTTTTGAGTAATGACCATTTTAGTGTCTTTTGTTCCAAGTTAATTATTTATTTTATAAATTTGCATTGCTGCACTTTTTTAAACAGGTATCTGAAGGTACTTTTTTTAGACTTTAAATTGAATTTAAAAAAAGTTACCTTAAGCCAAATATTTCAGATTTTGTGGACATATTGCCTTAATCCACATACTAAAAATAATTAAAAAATGTTAGGGTTCAGTGGATAAAAGAGTTAAGTATAAAAAATGGTCATTTATTTTCAAAAAACACTTACAATACAAAATGAAAAATTAACAAAAATAAATTTTTTAGTAGGTTTTTCTTTTCTTTTTAGGATTTTCTTTATTTTCCTCTATCGCGTTTTCATAAAACCATCTGTACTCTTCGGGAACAAATTTTATTTGGTCTCTTAAATTTTCCAGTTTTTCCAAACTCAAACCACCAGTTTTATTTTCCAGTCTTCTTGGTCTATATTCACTTCTGGTCAGATGTGCTGTCCTTTTTTTTCTTAAATCTACTTGCTGAAATGGCATGTAGTCATTAAGACATGTCTTATAGAGATAGAATCCAAATTCGTCCACTCTTATCCATTTTACATTATCACGAAAATTAATCTTTTCATTTGAACTGTTTGTTGTCTTTTTACATAAATAGAGCTTCGTTAGCAGATCTTCAAAGTCGTAGAAAAAATTCTCCATATTTACACAAATGCTACCTTTTGTGCTTGCCGACGTGATAATGTTACGATATTGATCTGGAATAAAAATTGACTGATGTTTTCTCAGAACTTTTTCTATCCTTCCAAAGTCCCTGTCAGAATCTAAATAACTGTGGCCCACTTCAGGAAATTTGTGCTCTATTATTTTAAAATATCCATTTAAAATGAGATATTGATATAGACCTACAATTATAAAGTTTTTGTTCTGACCAGAACATGAATCTGACCATATGATCAAATGATTAATATGGGGATTTTCTTCTTTTAAAAGCTTACAAAATCGAAACAGACAACTCGCTATTTCAGTACTACCTCGATTAGCTACATCTTCGGTCCACGTAAAAAAGTAAGATTTTGATCCTGATGAAGTTATGCAATGTATACCAAAATTATACAGCCACATTTGACGTAAATAGAATGCTCTTGATGTTGAAAGCTTAGGTAACGGCATGGTTTGTTGTAGATCCATTGTGATGTAGCACATATTATTGTCACTTATTGGCTTTTGCCTATCTACTTTTTGAGATTCAAATGCAATGCTACAGTTTTCTTTATGCTCTATAGTATTTTCTCCAGAATCACATGTGCTACATGTGTCACTTTTTGGATATCCAAATGATAGATTGAATTTAGTATCGAACACATGGCGATACATGGAAAGTTTAACTAAGTATTTTTCACCAATTTGTTGTTCATCGCATCTTTTTAGGTATAGTTCATGCATTTTTGTTACATTTAATAATGGTGACAAATACTTTCTATTCTGATTTTTGTTTCGAGAATAGTGAGAGCTCTCAGCTGGAAACATTTGAACATGTTCAGTAATGTATTCTACTACCGCTTCACCGATCTTGTGAGGTCTATTTGTATGTTGCCCTTGTTTACTTGGACTTGGAGCTGATTGACCTTGTTTAAGTTGTTTTTGAAGATTTAATATTTTCTTTGAGCCAACTTGGTACAGCGAACAAATTGCATCCTTACAGACAGATATTTTTTCTCTGTCGTAAGTTACTGAGTATTTAAAAGAACATTCTCTTAACTTCTGCTTTTTACCTCCAGAACGAATTCGGTGTCTTGAAACTTGATTTATGTCAATGCTTTTAAACAAAAGACAGGTTTTTGCGTTATTTTCTAAATTATAAAACCTTTTCAATATAGATTTTCTAGCTTCTAAGCTGAATTTGGTTCCACACTTTAATCTGCATGTTGCTTTACATAACACTAAATCTTCCTCAATTTCTTTTGCTGGTATAATTTTTCCATTTTGAGAAACATATTCCAACCCTTTTTCTTTTTGTATTGCTGCCTTTTTTTTCTTCCATTCAACAGGGTTGCGTTCTCTTTTACGAGCTTTCTTCTCTTTAAGCTCAAAAATTTTTTTCGCCGTCCTGTGAGGTTTGGAAACATCAGCTCCTTGTCCTTCTGCGGTAACATGTACCGCACTTTGACTGTCTTCAATATTGGGTTTTATTTGAAATTTCTTTGTCTTATTTTCAGCATTCACTTCTGCTTGGTTGTCTATATTCTTCATGTTTTGTTCCTTTTTTTCATTTAACAAATTTTTGTTAGGAAGTTTTTCAGAAAAGATGTTTCGTTTAGCATCATGTATTTTTTTGGAAAACATTTTGTTTGTGGTTTCTTCATAGTAGTCTGATTCATCCGAATAGCCCGTACCTGAAGGAACGAATTCATCACTGGACGACACATATCCGTCTGCTTCGCTTCCTGACTCATTGCTTTCTAAAAATATAAAACTATATGTAGTAAAATTAAAATAAATTTACTACTAAGAAATTATAAACCTTTCCAGCCAGGCTTACGTATGGTATCCATGTGTTTTTTCATTTTATACCAAATATCTCAAAAGCACAAAACCAAATTTTTTCATATTAAAAACGTTGGAGAACAATTTTATTAAAATTTAGACAATGCATAGTGTCTATCTGTCTATGAGATATTGAAACACTCCAAATAACCGATATTACAAAATAATTATTAATACAGATTAGAAAATACTAGATAACTTTAATATTATCTTAAATTATTATTATATTAACTTGTCAACGAGGCTGGAAATGTCAAATAAATATTCCCTTACCGACAAAATTTCGGAAGTCGATGGTATCTGCATGTCTGCACAATACTGTTTATTGGATAAATCGTTGAGTTTACGGGTATTTAAATCTGACGAACTAGGAGGAAATACACCTAAAACCAACAATATTGTAAGTATGTGATAAAAACTACAGTAAAAAGCATTAATTGGTACTTTGCATAAAACAACAAGTATTAAAAAATATATGTATATGAACCTTTATATAATAATGTAATATTACCTTTTTTAACAGTATTCTTTTCTTTCTGTTGAAGATATAGTCTGTAAATTCTTTTCCTCTACTCTCCATAATTTTTTCGTAACTTTTTGACTTAAAAACTGTAAAAATGTTTGCACAAAGTAAATTACACAATTACATTGATTTTCATAACATAACCTATAAAGTCAAATGTCAGAAAACCAACTGCTGAGCGACTAAAAATTTGAGTGGATAAAGGTAATATGTCCGCGATTTTAGACATAATACCTTTATCCACTAGAATTCGAAAATTTAGTGGGACATATTGCTTTAATACCTTCCTATTTTTTTTAATTAGCTAAAAATAAGTAATTTTAAAATTTTAAAAGGTTAAACAGCATATTAGCAGCACAAAAAACCAATAAAACAATTTTTTCAAAAAAGTGACATATGACCTTTATCCACTCATGTCTTCAATTCTAATCTCACGTCCTCCAAAAATACGTTCCAGTTTATTTTATTGCTTTTTTTACTCATAGAACAATTACAATGTTTCATTACGTGTTGCAAGCTTCGTAATATCATATTTCCATTTACCTCCTACTTTTTTAATGCCAACATATTCTTCGCCTTTTATTCTTTTTTCTTTATTTACGGATCTATTCCAATTAGAAATATTGGGTTTCTTACTCCGATTGCAACAAAGAGATTTAGTTCGTTATCTATATTATCATCTAAAACAGTGGTTCTCAACCTTTTTGTGGCGACGGAACACTTTTAATTACCGAAAAAAATTGCGGAACACCAAAGCAATAACATGCATATATTGATAAACAAATTAGAATTAGCACATAAATTCTGTAATAAACTTTATTATACGTACTCAAATTTGTAAAATTTTACTTAAAATATGAAAACAAAAAACATTTTTAAAATTAACAAAAGCGTAATTCTCAAAATACATCATATGAGTAAATACTTCAAATTAGTGGGACACTTGTTCTAAGTTTAGCAGCCTTTCCCGTTTCTTATTTTTAATGTTTGTTAAAGATGAGAACCCAAATTCACATACATAGGACGTTGAAAACTGTATTAAAATACTAATCGCTTTTTTGGCAAGAAATGGATATTCCTCTTGGACCAAGATCCAAAATTCCTGAACATTCACTTCTGAAAATTTAATTTTCAGAGTACGATCAGATGACAACGAAATAAATTCTTCTTCTTGGTTCAGAGAAAACTGGAAATTGGCTGTATTACTTGTGCTAAAAGGACTTCTTATCCAGTCATATTTTTCTACGTTCAGAGATGGAAAATACCTGGCAATTGTCTCCTCTAATAGTGATAAGTGTTCTGTAACTATATGCGTGATTTCTTGTTCTTTACCTTCATTCTGAAGCAGTGGAAACATATCCATTTTATTTGTCTCTAAAATGCGCTTCTTCCAAAATGACAATTTTTTCTGGAAAGCTGACAGCTTGTCCGTGGATGTTAAAATATTTTCATTTTTGCCTTGCATACTTGAGTTAACGCCATTTAAATAATTAAAAATATCGGCCAAATATGCCACTTTAGTGCACCATGCATCATTTTCAAAATATGTGGTAAATGTGTCATTATCTTCTTCTTGGAAAAAAGTTAACAGCTCCGTTCTAAGTTCATAAATTCGACATAATACTTATCCCCTTGACAACCATCTAACTTCGGTGTGCAGCAACAAACATTCATACTTTGATTTCATTGAGATGCAGAGTTGTTTAAAAAGACGGGTTTTTAGTGGTCTTGATTTGATGTAATTCACGACATTAATCACTTGGTCTAATACAGGTTTCAAAGTAGCTGGTAGCGTTTTTGAAATTAGAGATTCTCTATGCAAGAAACAGTGCGTAGATATGATATTTTCATTTCGCTTTTTTGCAAGGGTACAAAAACCTTTTATGGAGCCTACCATGGAAGGGGCACCATCCGTACAAATTCCTACGCAAAAGTCCCATGATATATTTTTTTCTCTAAATATGACGTTATGGAATCAAATACATCCTGACCTGTTGTACGTGCTGTAAGTTCTCTGCAGCATAAAAACTGATTGACTATTTCACCTTCGTCGACAAATCGAATAAATCCAAATAAATGAGCTTTGCCACTAATATCAGTGGATTCGTCCACCTGCAATGCGAAGTTTTTTTTGTAAAGTTTATTTGTAACTTTTTCCTCAATATCTGCAGATAAATCAATAATCCTCCTTCTTATTGTATCATCCGACATAGGAATTTTCCGTATTTCGTTTTGTGCATCGTTGCCAAACATACTTTTGACCATCTCACAACATGCTGGTAATATAAGAGATTCTGCAACAGTGTGTGGTTTCTGTTTCAAAGCAATTAATTCGGCGACCTTATATGAAGCTATTTGTTCTTTGTCGGAAATTGTTAACGACCTTTCAAATTGTTTCGCTTGTGTCTCCAAAAGTCGCTTGAAATAATCTTTATTTTTTGAAGCTACACTAGCGTGTTTGGTAGTAAAATGGCGTTTTAATTTAGCCGGAGCCATTGCGTTATTAGCGAGTGTCTGCCCACAAACAATACACTTGGGAATTGGACAGTCTTCTTCCCCAGTCCAAATGAAGCCATAATCCAAATATTCATCCAAATATTGCCGGTTCAACATTTTTTTTGCTGCGCTTCGATTTGTCATCAACCCCACTTCGTAAAGTTCCAGTATCTCCGCTGGTGCTCGCTTCATCATCATTTATTATGAGTTGTTCCACAGTAGTTTTTCTTTTAAGTTTGAGGAACTTATCCATTTTAATTTATTCGTCTCTAAACAAAATAATGCGGATGAATGCTTCACATTTTGTATAAAATATGCAATTACTTACCTTTGATAGATAAGCCGTACGTAAACGTTATCATAATAAAACTGACACAGCGATTTTCGCGTATTACGTTTGTGCAATGTAACAAATTCAACATTCAGTTGCAGACTGTGGAGTGGGTGACTCAGATTGGCTGTGGCCACTGCGGAGCTCAGCGCTCAGCGCTTATAAAATCCAACGTGTCCACTGTGCCGACGCGGTGTTGTCACGTTGAGCAAATGAACAGTTACGCTGCAGAATTTTATTAAATTCAAATGTAGGGGAGAATGGGTTACAGTGAACCACTTTTTATTTGGAGTGGTGTAACTCAGGAAAAAATATGCATATATGTCTGAAATTTGGATGATGAATGCTATAAGGTACGAACTTCTGCTCTCATAAGTGAAACATGATATAACCAGATGTTTGGTACTAGTTAAAATATATATTTTTCAAAGCGTCACTTGGTTCAGTGTGCCCCCGTCCTTGTGAACAGTGAACCAGGCTATGGGTAACAATGAACCAAATGGTGGTACAGAGAATCAGCAGGTTTCTTGGAGAAAAGAAAACGCATGATATAGCAAAACCTTTGATAACTCACTACTAGTACAAACTAGCGTATATCTATTTGAGTAAAATTTAATTTGAATGAATAGAATGACTGTTGTCGTTTAGTATTCCCACAAATAGTTGGTTTTGGTAATATCAATTTTACGTCTGACAGTGCAACCGGAGATACGTCTAAAACGTCTGGCAAACGGAATGTGTTTTCCATTTTATAGTTTCTTCTTAAAAAACTTACTTCTACTTCTTGTTCCTTGGCCTCTTGTAATACCTTAGCAACGTAATAGACTTTACCATTCTTCCCATTGAATTCAACCAACACATAGTCTCCTTCACTGGGTAATTTTTCTAATGGATTAAAAGAGTCGGAGGTCATAATATTCTCCTCATCACCGCTTTCATAATAGTCTTCTACCTCAGAATGAACACTGAACGTATCTTCTTCATCTGTTGTATCTTCTGGTTCTTGAAACACTTTTTTCTTTATGGGATGCGCTTTCTTCTTTCTCTGCTTTTCTGCTTCGCGCTCCTCAATTTCCATTTTTTCTGGGTGTCCGTGGCTATCATAGATTTACCCTTTCGTCTTGGTTTTCTGGTATTTTTTCTCGGCCCAGCCTTTGGCAGCCCTCGAAATTGATCCGGAGTTACAAATTCCAAAGATATTTCAGCCTCAGAGTCAGGAGTTCTACTTCTACTATGTTCGGCTCCGACTGCCAGTGGATTTTCTGAATTGAAGATTTGGCCATCTGGAGTATTCCCATTATTTTCAGTAATGGGCCTGTTAGTAACTTCACTTGGCAAGAAGTCTATGTCGGTAAAAACATTTCTATCGTACGGGAAGATGCCGGTATTCTTAAAGGAACTACAAATATTTGACGGAGTCATTGCCTTCATATGTGCATCCCCAACGCAAGCAGCTACCTCATAAATTGTTAGAGGTTTTCCTGGATTCCGCATCATCCAACTGTCTACAGCTGCATTGTAAGCAGTTTTGAAAGGTTTATAAAGGCAAACGTCTAAGGGTTGCATCTTTCCGGTAGAATGAGGCGGAACTGTTAATATTGTCACACCATTTTCCTTTGCCAATTCAATGGCTTTTATGCAAATATGAGCTTCAAAGTTGTCCATTATCAGTAAGCTGGGGTTTTCTTTGCTAGTGTTTGAGAATTTAATAAAGTGTTCCATCGTGTCTACAAATAGTGTGCTATTCATCCACCCAGACTGTGTCGCCAATCCTAACGTTCCGGTGGGAGCCCCATTTGTCATGTGATGCTTAAAATGGACACGAGGAAAAATCATGACTGGTGGTAAAAAATTGCCGGAAGCATTGACGATACAACAGGTTGTTACTAATGTTCCCTTTTCACCACTAGTGACTTTGCTGACCTGTTTTTGTCCTTTCGCTGCGAGCACCTTTTGAGATTTTTGCACGGTCAGGGAACTAGTTTCGTCAAGATTATATATCCTAGTCCCATCAGCAAATTCGGGCTTACGTAACATAACTTCTTGTAACTTATCATAAAATATGTTCACATTATGTCGGTTAAATGACGTAGCTCGGGACAGGCTACATCCTTCAGGTGTCCTAAGGCTTAACCGGGGATGTCGCTTTCTAAAATTGTATAGCCATTCCATGCCAGCAAGCTTTCGATCATTCCATTTTTCAGGAATTTTGACGTTGTTGACTATTGCCATTTCGTAGGCCAGCTGGCGACATTCCAGCAGTGTTAACCCGTAAAACATTTGGCTACATTTTACAATATAATTGGCCAGTGCTTCTTCCTGGATGGCTGTGAAAATTTTATTCACTTCATAATTAGGAGTTAGCCGTATTGGTTCATCTGTATTTTTAAATTTTTGCCAATATCTTCTAACAGTCGGATAAGGAATCCCTTTAAGTTTTGCCACACTTCTTATGCTTTGATTTTCTCTCGATATGAGGTCTAAAGCACTTCGCATCTGCTCTTCACTGTGCATGCGAATGTTTGTTTTTCTAACTCGGTTGCGTGGCATTTTGAATCTGAAACAATAAATAAACGTAATCATAAACCAAATTATGATTAATGAAATTAAATGCATACATTCTAAGGGCCGGTTGTTCGAACGCTATTCAAAAATGATCATTACCAAATATTTAATTACTGTCACCAACTGTCAATGTCAATTTTTATTGGGTTGCTGAAAACATAATCGATTACCATTATGAAATTAGTTAATCAATTATGTTAATAATTGTTATGTTAATTGATTCACTAATCTCATAATTGTACTCAATTTATTATGTTTTCAGCAACCCAATTAAAGTTGACATTGACAGTTGGTGACAGTAATTAAATATTTGATAATAATCATTGTTGATTAGCGTTCGAACAACCGGCCTTGTATAACATTTGCACAGTAAACCATTATGGGTTACAGTAAACCAGGTTCAGTGTAACCCATTCGTCAATGGTTCGCTGTTACCCACCGCCACCTATTTAACTAAAAAATTTATTTAAACAAAAATAAACTACATTGATTTGAAAGACAAGATAAACAGTATGTACAAAGACCTATTAAGTAGCTTGGAACTATAATTGATCTGAATTTACCGCCAGGCTTGGAACAAAACAAATAAATACAACAATGTGAAAAAAAGCATTCGACTTACCGTTCAGCAGATATCGAAATAAACATCTACACACTATGTTAGCTTGATGCGAACTAAAGTAGTAAGGTGTCGCGTAAAACCAGCAGATATTTGAAGAATAGAGTTGGGCGATAAAGTGCATAGGCAAAGAGTGGGGGCTGCTGGTTCACTGTGTAACATGGTTCACTGTGACCCAAGTTCCCCTACGTAAGTGGCTATTTTAAAATTTGAAAATATTTATTTGAAAAGAGTAATTTAGCAAAATGGTATGTAGAATTGCGAGTATTTCGCGGAACACTTGAAGGAATTCGCGAAACACTAGTGTTCCGCGGAACACCGGTTGAGAACCACTGATCTAAAATATCTTGCAGAGTTTCTTCCTGATGTTGTGTCCGAACAATTTCAAAAGTATGCCATTCAAGCACATAATTTGTAAAAAAAAACAAATTAATTATTACAACCAAATTATTTATTATTTCTGTCTTCCATCACAACCTGTTGAATAGCTTCAAAATTGTTTGTATTTTCAGAACGATTTCCGAAGTGGAAATTGAGACGTCAATAAACGTATTTTAACCTTTAATTGTGTCTTATTTCCAGTTAAATAGTAATTAATTTAAAATGCCACAAGAAAATAGCTTCAGAACAATATTTCAAAATTGCGGTTTCCAATTTACATTTAATATTGCGACATTGTATTTGTTTCATTTATTGCACCACATTATTTAAAAAAAATAATCTTTAGCATCTGGCTTGGAGTTCTCGGGTACTGCAGTTTTATTTTGATATGTGTCTATCAGACCCGTTACAGCATCTCTCATTCCAACAAAAGCATCATTTTCAGTATCGCGTTTTCTTTTCTGTGGGCGAGATAGAAACTGTGGTGTGACTGCACAACTCACATTGGGACTTACGAAATAGTTTCACTCGCCTAGGAAGGGCAAAAGAATTATTTATTATTTAAAACAAGTATCATAGATTGCCAGCATTTTGGCAAAAGTCCAAATTAATATTTTTACACAATAAGTGTTATATTTATTTATTTATTAACTGGATTTTCCCCATTGTATAGAAAATATTATAAGAGTACACATATAATAAAAAAATGCAAAAACAAGTTCAAATATAAATATAGAAAAAATTACAATTAAGGATAATAGTATAATGGACACCAAGTTTTTCCTCTCAAGAAATGGACCTGGTAATTTTTGCAAAAATGCTGCTGATATGTACAGTGAAAAATGTAATGGACTAAACAAAATTTTAAACTTAAAATGCAGTTTATATTTATATTAGGTTCTTGAATAATACTTAACATTTTTATTAACACTAAAAAAGTTACTTAACTTACATCTCTCTAATTTCCACATTTTCATTTAAATTTAATATTTCGTGGATCGCACCTGAAAAACAAGGAGCCATTTGTTTCTTTAATGAATCTTCTGACTCCCTAGCCTCAATTCCAGATCCTTATCCAGTACTTATCCATCTCATTATATTAATAGAGATTTGATATATAAATCTGTAAATGATAATATATCTTTATTAATGTTTTTACTTGTAAAACAGTATAGGACAAATCAGTAATATGAAGGCTTACTTGCGTTATAATATAAAATACTTATATCGCCACCACCTGCACCACTTATAAGGGCAGCCACTACTTTTTTGACTTGGGTCAAATATGTCGCCCTCAGGGAATTTAATTTTTTTGAGATATCCACACTTGTGGTGCCTGGTCTCACCGCAGACAACTCTTTGGCAATTGCCTCCAGAGAACTTTGTCGGGCATGCTTATTTTTGTAAGATGCACACTTTATATTATACAAATTGTTATGGTGTCCATAAATCTCAACCAACGTCAATACCTGATCTCTGGTCCACGACATATTATTTTTAGATTTAAAAATTTTCGAAAAAAAGGCACTCTGAGCTCTTAGCAAATAAAAATACAAATAATGAAACAGTTAAGACGGTGGCTAGTTAAGAGTAACTGTAGAAATGTAGGTTAAAATTATCTGTATCTAAAAAGGTTGGCAACCATCATAGCAATTCGCACTTTCAATACCGCTGCTCTAAAGAGATCAACAGAAGTGCAAGTAAATTAAGCTCTCACATTGTTTAACCAGGGGATGCGTCTTCTTCCGCGACTTCTTCTACCCTTTATTCTTCCTTGTATTATTAATTGCAGGTATTGCAGTTTTCTGACTTTAATTGTATTTAAAACCTCTTTACCTTTTCCCATTATTCTCAACACCTCGACATTCGTGACTCTATACACCCAACTTATTCTTAAGATATATTACTACCGTTCTACTACTATATATAAGAAATATATAAAAATACAAAATATTCTATTAATATGTCACTGATATTTCAAATCCTCTAATTTCTTTGTACTAATAGATAAACTTTCAGCATTCAATATTTGCAGGTCATTATGTACTGACAAAGTTTTTCTTCTTGTCCTACGCCCAGTATTAATTCTGATAAAATTCAGATCATGATAATTATATTTTATAAAAACAGCATTGGAGTGATCGGGCTAAACTATTATGACACGTACCTTCTGCCACTTGACCTTTTCTTCATTTTCATTTTTGTCCATTTCGTTACAAGTATGTTTTCTGAATTCAACAAAATCGTAAAATTTATTTATTCAGTAACGTTGTATGGATTTTTTCTACATGGTGTTCGTGCAATAAGGTACTACTGACTTGGCACGTATATAGCAACATTTTTTGAAACCCTCTCAACATTACTAGGTATATATATATATATATATATATATATATATATATAATATATATATATATATATATATATATATATATATATATATATATATATATATCGATACCTTTTTGCCATAACATCGTAAGTCTCGTTTAGTAAATTTTACAGTACGGCAGTTTTTTCAATAAACGTGTTTAGAAATGTCCAATTGAAGTGAAAATTGGCATCCGGACGTATTATGATGAGTGTTTGAAGTAAAGTAATGATTTTTCTTCAAAATAGTTTCAGTTTTTTTGTAGTTGGACTTACGTTACTTTGGAAGCATCAAAAATAATTTTGCTACTGTAGTTTTATACAAGTCCAACACTTACGATAATTTTGGTAAATTCAGAAATAATTTCACATTGTGATTGTTATCGTAAGCTCAGCACTTACGATAAAAAGTATGTTTAGACACAGCCCCTTAAAGTAACATAAATAATACATAAAAAAATACCAAAAATCGTTTATTTAAGGTAATTTATTTGTGAAAAGTAAAAAGTACAATAGGCATTTAACTGAACAACAAATCGCTTTAGTCATAAACTTACAAAAATAGTCATAATATCTAATGTTATTGCATGTGGTATAATAAATGTGAATCATAGCTAGTCAGCAAAAGTCTAATCTTGGGGCCCTTCATCGCTTTCGTCTTCCTCATCGGATTCTGCTAGCTTATCTGGCATAGCTGACGTTTTCATTAGCCTATATTCATTTTGAAACCTGAGAGGAATTATATTGTTGTCGCAGAGATCAATTAAGTCTTTTTTCTTTGCAACGGAAATAGACAATTTTTGAGAATAAAGCCGTTTTGGTTTTTTTCCTTTTAATTCCATCGTGAAATTGATGCAGTTCTGGCCATTATTTAAATAGTCAACCTCTATAATAATATCTGCGTTACCTTTCTCAAATTTTACATTTTTAATTTCACTGATTTTTATAGGTTTTCCGTTCTTACATTTGAATTTACTCGGTTTTAGTACATCATCAGATATTTTTTTCCATTCTAAGAAGTCGCTGAAATCCATTTTTATTGTTTCAAATGGTTTAGGTTTGGTACGAGAGTTGGATATCAATGTACACCATTCTGATGGAGCCCATACTACGCGTTTTTTGATAAACCGCTCAATTGTTGCATGAACTGAGTCGACAGGCATATAAGTATGGCCTGGTAGTAAGTATCGCACACTGATTGATGTTATATTAACAGAATCCTTAAGAAAACTCGAGATCATTACAAACATTGCCTTGTTTTTGTTCTGTCCATAACAACTATCACAATTTAGTGATATATGTTTTACGGTTTGTCTTCTATCAACTTCTTGCAAATATTTGTAGATTATGGTAGATATTTCGTTACTGCCACGTCCTCCGTCACATTCTCCCCACAAATAACAAAACCCATTTTGGGTTCCACTTTCGTAAACCGTAAGATTGTAATAAGCATACTTTCTGGTGTAGTACAAGAGCAAATTGTCTCCATGTGGTGTGTTTAACACCTTCTGCAGGTCGAAACTAGCACATAAAAATTTTGAATCTAAGATAGTTTTCTTTTGATCAGCTAGAAATGAATCTTTGCATTTTTCTTTGTTTTCCAAATGTTTTTCATACAATTGCTTTGTTTCTTCTGTTTCCTCAAAATCTTTGTCTTTTCTCACTTCACAGACTTTGCACTTATCTTTTTTCGGCAAGTGAAATCCGATATTAAATTCTGCCTTAAAAATCTTTCGGAACACTTGCAGGGAAACGATATCGTTCTTAGTTATGCCATTTTCTATCTGTTTCTTCTTAAAAAGTTCGTATAAGAATGATACATTACGAAATTCAGTGGGTAAGTATCTTCTCGATGTTTTATTTCTGCAATAATGAGATGGGACAGCGGGTAGCAACGTGATAAAATCTAAAACATTCTGCTTCTGCTCTTTCCCAGTTTTGTTATGGGGAACATGCTTACCTCTCTGATCTATTTTGGAAAATGAGGCTGACGTAGAGTTTTCTTTCGTATATCTCAAAGTCATTTGTGAAATATCCAAGGTTTTCAATAAAAATTGTTGGCACACCTCGTGTTCCACATCATTCCACCTAATGATATACTTGTACGAACATTGTCTTCTGCTTCTTGCAGCCTCTTGTTTTCGACGTTTTATTTCAACATCTTTTATGCATGAAAGCAGCCAGTCTCGTTGCCTGTGTAGGCTTCCCAAGCCCCAATAAAATTCGAAAACATGTTCTCTCACTATCTCTGGAAATTTTGAAATACACTGGTTTGGGCAATTAATACTGCAAGGATTCTCTCTAACAGACTTTTTGGCACCGAACTTGTGATTACTTTTCCTTATTGTCTTTTTGCACGGTTTTTTCTGTTTCCTAAAACAAGTTTTTCCCATTGCATCTTCTTTATTGTCAGGCGAGTTGCTGTCACCATTGCTAATATTTTCTTCAAAGGAATATTCTGAAGAGTGGCGACGAAAACGTTTAGCTGTATTACAGGTACGACTATTTTGATCATTTTCGCTACTGGAAGAGTCATAGTCAACGAGTTTCACAGAGGGTCGTGTTGAAACTACTGGCTGGTTCTGGTGAAGGTCATCATCAACTGAAGAACTTGGCACATTACTTTTGGATTTTATTTCTGTTCCGTCGGCAGTGATATGGTAAATTATAGGTTCGTCTAAACTAATTACGACCACGTCTGAAGATTGTAAATCTTTCAAGTTCGAGATTTGACCAACTTGTGAAGCAACACTGGTGCTAGAGCATGTGGTTGAGTCTATAATGGTGTCTAAGGACTTCTGTGATACCAGTGGAATCTCTTCGAATTCGCTTGATTCATACAAAGATGCTGAGTCTTTTACATCATACGAAACTGAAGATAATTCGCTGTCAAAGTTAGAGTCTCCCACATATAGTGAGAGTGACTCCAACTCATGTGAAGACTCAGACCGAGTGGTTACCAAAGACGGTATGGCATTTGATTCTTCTGTTCCTTAAGAACTAAGAGCTAATCTTACTAGATGTCTTGATCTACTACTCATGGCGATAATCTGAAATAAAAGAATATTTTATCTTATTTGTCGACTTTAAAATATTACTTATAAAAGTTATATTATTTTGAATTATAAGTGCGCCATATGTGGCCTCCATTCTTCTTGTCTTTTATTTTATTTTCGCCAGGTGTTATTAACGTTGTGGCCGTCCGATAGCTCGATCGGTACGGGATTTATCTTGTAGTATTCAATCTTACTCAATGTTGCGTAATATTACGCAACATTGCATCATGTACGATCAGTACGGAGTAAATCTTGTATTATTCAACCTTACGCAATATTACGCGTGAGATGAAACATCCTATATTGACCAAAAATGTGTCAACCCAGGTAAGACACCTTGTACATAAAATATGGAACTTGTAGTACCTTATAATACTCACTACAAAATAATACAAAAAGATAGGATTATGATTCTCTTGAGACGAAATAAATCTAGAACAACCATTACCTATCACACCAATACAATTATTACTAAGAAATCTCTATAATTTGAAAAAACTACGTATGTTAAGGAAATTTTGATTTTAAACTACATTTTTTACAATGTTTCCTACAAATCTCAACGAAAGCAAAAGTAAAAACCATAAATAATTACCAAAAAAATTATTTTGTGGTACTTACGTTCCGACTCTGCGGCTACACACAGTTCACTAATAGATCGTAATGAACTTCGCTGCATCGTAAGTAGCAAATTTTGTACCACGTGACTTGCACCTTACGATGTTTTGGTGACCATGCGATGTTTTCACAACTACAAAATAAATTTTTTCACATTTTTATGTGACTTACGTTACAGCAAATTCGGTTTTTTCTCCAAGACTATGCTATTATACCTTACAATAATTTTGCTGGGAGGTGCCTGGCGGCTTGATAGATACGATGCTTCAATAAAACTGTTTTCCCTAAATTTGTCACTTACGATGTTATGGCAAAAAGGTATCGATATATATATATATATATATATATATATATATATATATATATATATATATATATATATATATATCTCTGTATATATATATATATATATATATATATATAATATATATATATATATATATCTA